CTGGAACAGGCTGCCCAGAGAGGCTGTGGGGGCTCCTTCTCTGGAGATCTTCCAAACCCGCCTGGATGCCGCCCTGTGCCCTGTGCTCTGGGTGTCCCTGCTGGAGCAGGGGTTGGACTGGATGATTCTTAGAGGTCCCTTCCAACCACGATCATTCTGGGATTCTGTGGGATCCCTGGGACCCCACGCTGCCCCCTGCACCCTGCCGTGCTCCACTTGGGTGCGCGGGGTCGATACCGGGGGAGCTGGGCGTTTGGGCAGAGCCTCTAGCACATCCCAGTTCATCCCAAGAAACAAAGTTATGAGAGAGCAAAAAGACTTCCTGGGAGCCAACTGTTCAGGGGTCTTTCATTTGTAGCTTCATTGAAATGTTACATTAGCAAATTCCCACCGACGTTAGGGACAGGCTGCCCGGGGACCGTCACAGCTTTCCCTCCGCCGCTCCGTGGAGGAGCATGAACCCGCAGGGGCCGAGCAGGGTGGCTCCATGTGTGCGTGGAGCTGTCGGCTGCCCTACCCAGCACACGGTGCTGGGGCACCTCCCATCTGCTCCCCACAGCCCAGACACCCTCCTCTTGCACTGCTGCCACAGACGGGTTTAGAAAAGCTTTACCTCCTGGGCTCACTGCCTGCTGCTTTGGAGCTGGTGCTTTTCCTGTCCGGTTCGTGCTTGTTTCAAGCAGCCTGACTCTGCCCTAAGCCTGAGAAGTCTCTTCCCTTCCTAGGAAGAAGATCTCCTGGGCGATGTTTGCAGGGAGGTGATCGAGAAGTGGGCTGAATCCCAGACCGTTGACGCCAAGGAGAAAAAGGAAGGTAGAGTCGCTGCTGCGCATGCCCTGCCGCCGCGCTGGGAGCCGCGGGCGCTGCTCGGTGCAGCTAAACCCGCTGCTGCGGCTGTGTTTGCAGGCCTGACCTGCTTCTCCCTGCCCTTGCTGCTTTTCTTGTCTTGAAAATTGAAATGTGTTGGAGTAGTTTCATTTCTGGCTTCCCCCAGCATCTGCTGCTCCTTGGGCTCGTAATCCTGCAGAGGAAAAAGTTAATTTCTTTCTGCAGGATTTAAAGTTTTTCCTTTTATTTTTTAAAAAATAGGGCTTACTTTCCAGTAAATGATGCACCTCGGGCTCTGACGGTAGATGCAGTTCTGGTGCAAAACGTGCAGAGTGCTCCTGTGCGTGCACGTTTGGAAGTGAGCGCCTTGACACGGCTGTGATTGCCGCTGCGGGAGCCTCCCTGCTGGAGAGGGTCCCCAAATGCACCCCAAAACCAGCCTCATTTTTCTCTTTCCAAATCTTCTCTTTAAACTTCCCCCTCCCCCCAATAAATGCTTGTGTGTGCAGGAGGCAAACTCTCAAGCTGCTGATGCTGTTTGCTCCTAAGAAACAAGATTTTTCTTGTTAGTCCCAGAGAGAAGGTAGCAAGAAGGATTTACTTCCTTCACTGGGGTTCTGCAAAAGGATAAACACCCACTGAAGTCAAAATCTACATGTTGCACCTTCTTGAAAATATATATTGGGTGTTAGCACTTGGTAGGAGAATGAAATGTCTGAAGGCAAAAGCTGGGAAGGGAATCTTTTTAATTTCACTACAAGATCCAGGCCTCATGGAAACCTGACCTTACCAAGCAGGCAACATGCCGCAGCCTTTCTGCATTGAAAGCAAAACCCTAAGAAGTTATTAACCATCTAAACAAATGTCGTTTGGTGTCAAAACCAAAATGTCATTTTAAGAAATGGACAGCAGAACTTAATGCTGAAAGGTCAATCAACTGTTTCCCTGGGTGGGTAGAAAAGATGGAGCATTAGAATGATGTTAAATTGAAATTCTGAATATTCAAAGTACTCATGGATGTAACTGTGCAATTAAACAGACACCCTCAGGATGCTTTAAGTGGATGAGAAGGCATAAAGTGGCTTTTCATCAGCTGGAGTCTTACTGACGTGTACATTTTACTACCAAACTTCCCTTACTCCAGGGAAAACAGCAGCCGACGGATGCGGACGATGCTCCTCCTTGTGCGGAGGAGGAGGTTTGTCCCCATCGCTGGTGGCGGCACCGGGAGCTGCGGCTCTCCCATAGCTCCCGCCTGCTCCAGCCGCAGCCCCGGCCTCTTCGGGAGCTGCAGCCGTGGGAGTTGGGAGCAGGTTGTGGCGCCCGCGGGCCGGGGCCCCGCGCGGCGTTCGCAGGGCCGGGCTGATGCTCCTCGCTCCTCTCCCTGCAGACGAGGTGCAGGCGATCGCCAGCATGATGGAGAAGCAGGCCAGGATCGTGGTGAAGCCGAGGGAGGTCTCCCAGGAGGAGCGGCAGCGGAAGGCTGCCCTCCTGGCGCAGTACGCCAACGTGACGGATGAGGAGGAATATCCTTTTCCTGGCCCCACCAAGTCTCATGAAGGAAGGTGTTTTATTGAGAATCTCCTAAATGTCTTTCGGGTTTTGCAGTGTCAGGTGGGAAGGATTGGAGGGACTTCTCAATCTTTGTTCTCCGCAGAGAAATAATTGCACGCAAAAAAAACCAAAAAAGGCATGGAAGCTCCTGTGGAGCTCCTAGTTTGTGGAATGCCATGTGCAGAAGACACCCCTTGGGATATCCTCCTCTGCAAGTCCCTGCTTGGCTCTGTCTGGGGCTTGTCCAGCCCGGGCATGTTGCAGTAGTGTCACCTCCAGCGTGGCCGTAGCGCCCACGCGTGGTGCCTAACGCAGTGCATTAATCTCCTGCTTTCTGGTCAGGGACCTGTGAAAAGATCCTTTCCAGAGAGGGCACGTGGAGAGGGGGAGACTTTAAAGTTACTTCTTTACAGTGCTGAGGAACAGACTCTTCTTTGGGGGTCACAGTTGAGTAAGAGGGAGTCTCACCTGGCACTTGAGCAGATGGAAGAGTTGAGCAGGGGGTATAATGCTCACTTGGCCCTTGGTTGCCTATATCAGTTTTTAGTTTCTTCCTTGTGGTCTTGAAAAATGTTTTTTTTTTGCTATGTTTTAAACTAAATGTGAAGGTACAGATGCACAAGTTCATGACTGAGGTCCAAATTTCCTTAATTCTCTCACCGGTGAGGATGAACACGATGGATCCTCTGCAACAGCAGTAAATACTGGATCAGAAAAATGTATCCTTTAAGTTCTTGATCACTTAGGCAGCTTCCACGGTGAGTTTCTCAGCCTTTATTCTCTGTGTTTGCACTCACTGTCTCTTCAGTGCCACCTTTTAGTCTTGGTGATTCCTTTTTTCCACGCAGCCTGTCCTAACTCATAATGGAAGTTAGAGGTTCGTCTGCTTTCCTGGTCTGCTTTCCCTATCCTGTGTTCTGCTGAGGCCAACCCTGTCCTTTTCTTCCTAACTTCCTTCCACCCCCTCTCTATGTGCAGAACATACAGAATTATCCATGATAGCACTTAAATATTCAGCTCGATACCGAATGGTCTCCAGAGAAGTAAATCGTGTTGGGAGTTGCTTAAAAACTGCTTTGAAACGATCGCATTTTCATTTCTGTGTAAGGCCGTAGTGCACTGAGCGTTGGTGAACAAGGACCAGGCTGCTCTGGGTTCTGCAAACACAGTAACAGGGTCAGTCCCTGCAGCTCCTCAGGTGACAGGTTTGAGATGGAAGCCGGTTTTCTCTCAGGACATAGGTAAAATTTGGAAGCTGAATTGTTCTTGTGCCAGAATTACCGATAGGAGGAAGAGTCACACGGGGAGGCACCTACTCCCTCTGTCTCTATTGCTCTTCCCAAAGCCATCATGGAGAGAGGTGGTGGCAGCCTGTGGTGGGGGATATCAGATGAAGTCATTCTTGTTTGCTAAATCCACTCTGTAGTTCACAGGCCCTCAAAATCACCGAAAAAGGGGAAGCTTCATGTGTTGAGACCTGCCTGTCTCTATTGCTCTTCCCAAAGCCATCGTGGGAGAGAGGATGTGAGGTGGTGGCAGCCTGAGGTGGGGGATATCAGATAAAGTTGTTCTTGTTTGCTAAATCAACTCTGTAGTTCACAGGCCCCCAAAATCACCGAAAAGGGGGAAGCTTCATGTGTTGAGACCTGCTCTTAACTCGCAACCAGCTCTGTTCCGAAACACAAACGTGGAAGATGTCTTGAATGCCAGGAAACTGGAACGGGAGCTGCTGCGGGATGAGTTCCAGAAGAAAAAAGAGCAAGACAAGCTCCAGCGAGAGAAAGATAAACTCGCCAAACAAGAGCGGAAGGAAAAGGAGAAGAAAAGGACACAGAAAGGAGAGCGGAAGCGATAGCTGGGTGTTTTCGGTTGGACTCAGAAATCATGAAATTAATTATGAATATGGTGTGTGTTTGAAAAGCAACAGAAATTTTGGGCACGTGGCTGGCGAGCGGTTCTTTGGAAGCATTTCCTCTTCCATTTACATAGCAAAAAAAAAAAAAAAAGAAAAAAAAAAGAAATTTCAACACCTCTTCAATGCCAGATGTGCCATGTGCTTGTGGTGTCCAATGTCCCAGTCGGTTTTTGTGGCCAACGTCCAAACCAGAGAAGGGTGGAGTGGTGGTGTCTGTGTTTCTGATTGATTTGACTTCTAACTGCTTCAGGCAAAGCGAAATGCGGTGCAGGAAGGAGCCTCCGCGCTGGCCGTGTCCACGTGCTGCCCTCGATTGGCGCCTGTGGCCGGTTGGGGTTTGAGACTAGAGCAAAGCCCCTTCCTGACGTGGAATTCGGGACATGCTGCTACAGGGTGGATGTGAATTTATGCTAGCCTTGAAAAATGTATTTGCAAATGCATCTCTGCGCTGCCAAGACCAACGCTGTGTTTTTGTAGGGACTGAATAGAAGGAGCAGGGCTTGGCTCTGACCTCGGCAACTGCTGTTCCGCCACGATGGAAGGGAGACGCCGTGAAACATCCGTGAGCTCCGGCTCTGGGACCGCTTCCCCCAGCGGTGCTCGGTAGGGCAGGGCCGCTGCGATCGGAGATTTCAGCCCTGGGATTTCCCGGGATTTCAGCGCAGTGGGAGTCTGGCCCGAGGGCAGGGTGAGCGCTGACTGCTGAGCCGGGAGCTGCTTGTTGCGTCGCTGCAGGGCCCGTGTTTGACCCGGGGCAGCTGCTGGCGGGAAATGTCCTTGTCACCTGCTTCCAGCACCAGTCGCGTTGGGGGGTAGCGCGTCCTGTTTAACTGACTGCTGCAAGTGTGAGTAATGGCTTCATCTCTGCACTTGAATAATAAACCTGTCTGGCCAAGAACGGCGTCCCTCTCCGTGTCTGAGCGTTGCGGTTATCCGTGTGCTGAGACAGCCGAAGATCTGGCACCCTCCGTTCCCATCACACCGCAGAGATATTCCCAAGTCCCAGTGCTCTCCTGGGCTATTCCTCTTCTATCCTGTTTTTCCGACTGCTGCTCTTCACCTCTTCCCGATGTCCCTGTAGGGAACAAAACCCCAGTGCTGCTTTGGGGCCAGGGCTATGCTCAGGACCTGCCCCTTTTCCCAGTCCCAACTGCTCCCATGGATCCCTGATTTCTTTCCAGGATGCTTCCTTGGAGCACAGGACTGTCGCTGGAGGGAGAGATGACCTGGGGGAGTTGGGGTCCCAGAGCCCCTCGTGCCACAGTGGCCTCTGCGAATCCCCCGGATGTGGCTCCGGGTGGGAGCACGGAGCAGCTTTGGCTCCGCTCTGGTGTTCGGAAGCTGCCGGTTCTCCCAGCACTTTTTAACGCTCCCTGCTCTGCGGTTGCTGGGGCAGCTGCAACCCACAGCTGCTGGAATTCTCCTTTTCCATGTCCATAAACCGCACCGAGAGCTCCGCAACAGCCAGACCTTTAGTTACGCAGGTCAGCGGAGGAGCTGAAACCCTCCTGCGTGCAGAACACCCCCCCGCAACTCCCGCGCGGCCCCTTCCCGGCCTTTCCGCAACCCTCCCGGGAGCCATTCCCGGTGCTGACGGAGCGTCCAGCAGGATAATGCCTCTGGCGCGCTGGCGAGCACGTCCCTGCCCAGCCCTCGTCTGATGGAGACGAGAACGGCCGTGTTGCTTCGTTCCCCGTGTCCTGGCGTCAGGGCCAAGGGATCTTAAAGGCAGGAAAACTCCTGCTTGTGCTCCTCAAATCTCTGCTGCAGATTCTGCAATGACCCAAGTGGCTTTTCCTGGTGGTCACATTTTGTGCTTAACCCGAGAAACTTACAGGGCAAAGAGGACCCCGCCGCCCCCAACCCTGGAATTCATGACACTGATACAATTTTGCCCTGTTGGTCTGGAGCAAAGTTACAGTGATTTCCTCTTGCAGGTTCAAGAGCACCATTTCCATGTCAGCACTGCTGGCTCTGCACCTCTTTTAACTTATTTCAGGAATGAGCTCAAAAATTACAACCCCTGTCAACAGGCAATGTTTTAGGAAGTGAGGCTATGAAGACAAACGCAGAACAGAAGCTTTTCAACAGAAGTTAATTTATTTCTTACCAGACAGACTAAATTCAGTATTGGTTTTAACATCAACATGTCCTAGGTTTAACTCAACAAATCTTAATGCTGTGACGTGTGCTATGACGATGTACTCGTGCTCCTGCCCCAATGAATTCACTCCGGCAGGAGTTTTGGTCATACCAGTGATCAGAATGGTTACTTTAGTTTCTCCTGCATTCTCATTCAGTTTCTTACATCATCTAATGACAATTTATGTGGTGTGATTACACCTTTTGCACATCAGGATTTCTAAAAGTAGGAAGAACACAGACATTTAAAATACCAATGTATCTAGGCAAAGAAGAGTTGAATAAATTTAATCCACACATTATAGTTAAACTCGATGCTAGAATTGTTAAAACCCTGTTTATCTCCTGAGCCACATAATATCAACATTTCATATCAATAAGTTACTTGTATTCAGTACAAAGATATTAAGATATGCAGATAAATCCCAAGCTGTCAGAAACACAGGTGCGAACTAATAAATGTAAAATATGACAACCAAATCTCAAACCAAACTAGCCAAAGAGTAACGTTAAAAAAATCTAAATCTCATAACTTTGTGATGCCCTCTTTTCAAATTTTAAAGTGAAGGTATTAAAAACAATACTCATTATTTCAGCTGCTGCACAGCTTTTTAAAGGTTAATATTGTGTGCATGTTGTAGTTTGATTATGTTTAAAATACTTTAAAAGAGGTCTTTTTTTTTCCTAAGCACATGCTCAAATGATTTGAACATATTTACTGAATTGTATGGTTTCAACAGCAATTTAATAAAATCACTAATTTAGCAGAACCTGGTGCATTTCCTTTCACAAACTTGGATTCTAAAATCTCAAATTCATAAATATTAGCATTTTAAATATTTAATTTTACATGAATACTGGGTATTTTTAGCATTGTTTTCCTCCTGTTTCCAGGTATTAGTTTGATAAGGAAGACACTTTTACACCACAATCTTGTCTGATACTAGACTGTATGGTACATTAGATTACAGTATTTAAGAATCATTATTTTAAAACCTACTTACTAAAACAAACCTAAAAGAACGTATCAGAAGAGTTTTATACCAGGGCCCAGCTGCAGAAGTGAAATCACACTGTGGTTGTTACCTTTTAATTAGTCTCATTATTTTTTTTAAGGTCACTTTCATCAGTTAGGCCTCACAACACCCTGGCACTGTAAAACCTAACTGGCCTCGCTGCAGCGCTGACAGTTTGGGGCGAAGCTGGGAGCCCTTA